ACATTTCAGCATTTCGCATTCAGATGAAGGAGAGATGAAAATATCCAGTCGCCAGGGCAAAGAAAGACTTATAACCGCTTCTTTCTGGACACCATTTCCATCAAGAGTCTGAAACTTGATTTGTGCGTTCAGAAAGAAGCGGTTATCAGTCTTTCCTTGCCCTGGTAATTGGATATTTTCATCTCTTTCATTTGAATGCGAAATGCTGAAAAGTTTTCATTGTGTATGATCATTATTGTTCGGAATAGTGTTTAGTATTGCATATATATATTATTACTGTATGCATATATTGATTGATTTTTGTTTAAAATGAACTCTGTGCAAGTGTGTTAAAATTGTTTTTGTAGATACATTTAATAATGTCTTTGCCCTGTAAGCAGCTGACGAGAAGGCAACGTAATAAAAGATGGTACCACTTTATTCTGCTAAAACTGTAGTTCTTGCTTTGTTCATATTCCGCAAGTAATCTGGGCATATAACTAACTGTAGAATCTGAAGAAGTAAAAGTTACCGACAAACATTTTCTTCGTTCATTAATCAACACTTCAGATTTCCAACATTTTAAAAAGGAAACTTTGACTGAACTTTTAGGTGAGACACAATATATCCGGGAAGAAATTAGGACAGTTACTCACCAATGAAATTAACTAGCGGTTGCGTTAAATAACGTGAATTTTAAGCAGTTCGAATTCATATATCGACCACTGGATTGGTCTACGAGCTTACTTTTTGACTAAAAACTCCTGCGTTTCGAATTTTGATAGTTGCCCATTGTTGGAGAATACGAAACTAGGACGAAACAGCTGCCTGGTTTTCCAGCAGTTCTCTAACTAATATCAATCCGTGTCCAAACTTGCAAAAACAAATTTAATCCCTACAAACCAACTCTTGAAAATTAATCTGATGCTGGCTGGTGACTGTCTTCAGGACGAAGTTGCTTGGAGTTCTAGTGAAAAATCGTGACCAGTGGGGTTCAATCGGTCAGAAGTGAGGACAAATACTTACCACGAATGACACTGGCTGGTGCCACTCACGCTAAAATCACGAATTGGCAGAAGTTAGGAATCATGAGTTTGCCATTTAGTTGGGTCCCAGTGTCTCAATGTTCTGCGAGCTCACATGGTAACTGGAAGGCCCTGGATTTTAAACCCTGACAGGTGCGCACTGCTGGAAAGTACTAAACTAGGACGAAACGGCTGCTCAGTATTCCTTGGTTTTCCAACTGACTTCAGCTTGAGATCAAACTAATTAATTCTCATGAATTACTTGACTCCAAAAACTGCCCACTTTAAAATTTGGAACTTGGTGGACTTTTCGTTTGTTTTTAGCCAAATTTCCCCTTTCTCGTTGAGCTGAAATCCACCGTCTCCTTTGATATGGCAGCTTCTAGGACGGACGCTTTCACAATGTCTAAGCGTTAATATGAGATTTTGTTTGATGGTGAATAGCAGAGGAATCCAGGATGTGAATTTCGCCCTATCTTGGACTTTTCATCTGGATGAACCTGCATACACAGTGAGACTCGAACCCTGCATTCATCATTCCAAACTCCAAATTATAGGCCACTATGTCATGTGAAGCATATCCTGTACAACGGGTATCAGTAATACTTGATTTTTAGGTAAATTTGCATACTTCGACTTTGTCAATTGATGAAAATTTGACTGATGCCTCGGTTCAAACCACTGACGTCAAGATTACGTACTGATCCCTCTGCCATGTAATCAGTACACTACAACTTATACAGAGATGAAGGTATATCCAGGTAATGGGTCGTACACAGCATATAATATAGTCATCATCAAATATGTGTCAAACTGTAAGAACCCGACAACCAACATGAGATGAATGAGTTTGGTCCAGGACTATCGATTACAAGTTATAAAGAAATACGATGGTGCCAAATGCTCAGCTTAGCGTTGTTGAAACCAACTAATACTACTCGACAGACGAGTCACAAGCGCTAAACCTTTTTCTTCATTCACATCTCAGGTACCAAAGCAGCCGCTTTCAATTCGAACGCCTGGAGTGTATTGTCACGTTAGAATTGCCTCAGAGTATGTTCATTCCACTATCATTCCCTTCTGCATAGCCAATTGGATGGCATAGAGTACAAGTGTAATCACTGAAATTTGTGCCCGTTGTTCTCTGAAGTCAATAACATTACCTTAATACGTGTGACGCATCCCTACAACTAGACAGATAGATGACGAAAACAAGACGAAGAAAGCTGTTCAAGTAGCCGTTAGAGATAAGCTTCATGAAACTTGTTGATTAGCACCTGAAGTTTCATCAATGAAGATGACGATGACAGCAATGACGGATTCCTTTGACTAATAAGGATAATCTATGAAACACAAAATAATTGGGCAAAGAATATCCTTTTCGATAACTCCCTCTTCTCGCTCTACAATTATATGCATATGTTTATATATATATATATATCCTTCACGTTACCCAGTGGAACATAGGGCTTCAAGCTAGAGGCTTGAAGTTTCTGTAGCAGTGTTTATTTTATAGGATGGGGTTGCTAGCCTCATGCCCAACCTTTCCTCTTCACCAGCATTATTTCTGGCTTAGCGAGGTAAAGGAGTGCGTCGGCCGGGGATCGAACTCCGGACCATGTGCATGGTCGGCGAGCGTCCTAACCGCTATGCCACCAACGTACATAGAATATTCTAGAACAGTATTCAATAACAATATTAGTGTTTTTTTAAATAATATCGATTTTTGAGTAAGATCACAATGGAATTACAGTTCATGAAAGATGCTTAAACTATAATAATAATAATAATAGCAAATAGAATGTCAACTAAGGAAATTTCTACAAAAATTTAGGATCATTCAAATCTGGATGGCCAATGCCTGAACTTGCTTCTTTTGGACACATAAATTAGGCTTCTTAATGTGGATACCAACGGCCTCAGACGAACTCTTGAGGCGAAATTGAGATTTGTTGGTATGCGGTAAATGACTCTGAAAGCTGCCTCGTTGACATTGATCTTGTGTTCTGTATCCACAAGATGAGATAGAATAGCGCTAAGAATAGATTTTGTTTGTCCTTTGCTTAACCGCTATGCAGGGTGATGTTCGGAAATTCGACGAGAAACACGCCTAATTGTACGGCCTATGTAACTGACTCCACAGGAGCAGTTAAATTGGTAGATACACATGGAAGAAGCAAAATTAGGCAGTTTATCTTTTACTCCCGAACGCAAAAGAGTGGATTTCAAGACACAGCGTAATTTAGCAGCAGGGATCATATTTCAAGCTTAAATATCCTGACTAAGTTTCAACGTTGTTCAGTACTCTCAGGTTTTTCAATCGCCAGCTTATGATGAAATCCTGTAAACAACACTTGAATTTCAATGTAAGAATTTGTGCAGAACTCCAGTAGCTCAAGGTACCATTATCCACAAAGCACACAAAGGCAGAGGTAAAATGAGACAATACATCTGCACCAATGAGAACAGTTTCCAGCCATATCACCAACAGTCTTCAGCCATTGATTTTTAACATCCCCAGGAACCCAACCAAGGAGTCTACACGTCCCTATGTGACTGGTTCAAACCAACGGTTAAAGACTTGATGCCATTTTAGTTTCCCCACTCCTAACTCTCTCCCGAACTATCTGACACTGTTCGTCGAGGAAGGCAGAGGGTCAATATGCGCAACACATTTCGTAGACATATAAACTATTGTAACTTCACAACCTGATCGATTGACTTTCTTACCTAACAGTCTACGTCTGGCCTCATTGGTTCTTTTTTTATTCCTTTACGTTCTCAGTGAAATATTGAGTGGCTTCAAGCTAAAGGCTTAGAGTTTCGATAGCAGTGGTGTTTATTTTTACGGGATAGGGTTGCTAGCCTCATGCCCGACAAACCTTCCCTCTTTACCAGTCTAATTACTGGCCTAGTGAGGTAAAGGAGTGCGTCGGTGGCGGGAAATCGAACCTCGGACCACATGCGTCGTTGGCAAGCATCCTACCGCTGTGCCATCACCTCATTAACGCTCACTATAATATACCAATTAACGCGGGACATATAACACAGACACTTATGATCTGTCTGTTTACAACATAGAACTTCGCATCGATGTGCAGCAGTTCAAGTCGCCACACTCCATGTAGCACACAGAGCAAGAGAAGAAAGTAGAAAAGAAACGCAGGGATATGAAACAAAAGGAATGATAATATAGAAGAATAATATAGTTTTATTGGGTATTGTAATTCACAAGGAGTGGATGCATCTGCGCCAGTTCATTGAGAACGATTTTGAGCCATATCACCAATTGTCTCCAGTCGTCATTGGTTTTTATCGTCCCAAGGACCTCAACCAGGATGTCTAGACCTCCCGACTTGGCTGGCTTAAACTGACTGTTGTGGATTTGATTGACTGATGAAGCCATGTTTTGGTTTGAATACCACTAGCTAACTCTTTTCCGTGATGCTATGTCAGCTAACATTGCCTGTTGTCGAGGAAGACGATGGCTAGGCATACGTAACACATGTCCTAACCATCTTAGTCGATGTAGCTTCACAGCTGCATTAATTGATTTCCCCTCCTTACCTAGCACTCGACGCCTAACCTCAATATTGCTCACCTTGATATACCACTTCGCACGGAAGATAGAACGCAGGCACCTATGATCAAAGACAGCTAGACGGCCTTTTCATGTCCTCCACTCACAAAGGCCACAAAAACACAACTAGCCTTTCCATATCTTCCACATTCAGAGGCCGTCACACAGTCATACATAAGCATAGAGGGAACAGCTAGACAGTACACACACACATCCTTTGACCAATAGCCAGATATCACGTCAACGCTAAAAAACGATGCAGGTTGGCAGATGTATCACACACCAGCCTTTCCTAATAACTATTTTACCAAAAAACTCCCCAGTTGTATGTTATCATCCTAGTCATCATAAACAGTGAACAACAGCTATACCAATGCATATATACACCTGTGTGAGTGGGGATAACACAATCAATTTTCAAAAATAAAACGTAGATATATTTTTGTGGTTTGTTGAAAGATTCATCTAAAATAGACAAAATCCTTTTTGTTTTCATCTCAAAAACCATATGAAAAAGAAATCCTATAACCAAGGAAATGTACAACCAAGACATCGTATATATATATACCACTTACACAGTGAATACAGAGCAATTGAAATCAAAAAAAGATGTGACAGATTAAAAAAGGAGAAAGGCATTTTCCGCCGAAACAGAATGAAATCACAGTCCAGAATCAACAACGGCAACGTCGACGGCGACGACAACACCACACGCACGCACCACCAATGACTAGAGAGGTAGTAGTTTATTTATTTACATAAACATTTGCCTGTAAGTATATGATCCAAGTGTATAAGAACACCGTACTACACCATAACCAATTCCAAGAACAGTTGATAGTAAAACTCCTCGTAATATCCATTTAAATATACGCCAAGATAGAGGAGGTTTCAACAGTCTGGCAAATAAAGAAAAATAAAAAAACAAGAATATAATGAATAAGAATGAACATTATAAAATGACTGCTGAGCAATATGATGATAACAGTTGGGACAAGGAAATAACTAGGGTGGGGGATAGGTGAAACAGCTGACTGATTGGTTTCAATAGACAACTTTACGCAGATGTGAGGCAGTCGGAGTAACCACTCTCCCTCTCCATGTAGCACGCACAGCAAGAGAAGAGAGAGTAAAGAGAGATTCAAAACACAGATAACAAAAATAAGTGCAATATGGAAGAAGAACAATAGAGTTTTATAGGATATGAGAAATAACAAAGAGTGAATGCATCTGCACAACTGACAACAAAGATTCTAACCCATACCACCAATTATATCCAGCCTTCATTGGTTCTTACCGTCCCGAGGACCCCCAACCAGTCATCGCCTACTTTGACGGTCAATGTTAGCTGATATAGGATTAGTCAGGTTGGAAAAGAGTTAGGTAGTGGTGGTCAAACCAAAACATGGCCCCATCAGTCAATCAAATTCACAACAGTTAGTTTAAGCCAGCCACGTAGGAAGGCGTAAACTGACTGTCTGACTGGTTGGGGTACTCGGGACGGCAAAAAACCAATGAAGGCTGGAGACAATTGGTGATATGGCTCAAAATCGTTCTCAATGACTGGCGCAGATGCATCCACTCCTTGTGACTTATAGTATTCAATAAAACTATATGGTTCTTCGATATTACTATTCTTTTCACTTCATGTCGCTGTTCACTGTCTCTATTTTGCATTTCGTTTTACTTCCTTCTCTTGCTTTGTGTGCCACATGGAGTGTGACGACTTGAACTGCTGCACATCTGTGCAAAGTTCTACGTTGAAACCAGACAGATAGACAGTAGTACAAGTCAGTCAATCTTACTCAAAAACTACTTGCGAGTCCCTACAGTCAGCAATGAGCCAGACTTATTATGTAAGGGCTAATAGTACTATGCGGTTGCCAAAATCTCATTGCCGTGTGGAACGGGATTCAGAACCATGACCCATTGGTTGAAAGTCCAGCGCGTAGACCAAGGAACCAAAGCTCCACACCAGCAGTACGACTCCACTTTCACACCCTATGCAAAGGACCTTTCTGAAAGGGGAAGATTTGTAGAAACCTTCATTCCAAACAGTGTAGCTAGTTGTGACATCACGTTACGTAAGTCAGACCATCAGCTGAAGCTGTCATCTGTGGTTACACTACAAGACCTGCGACATAAATGGTGTAGTCGATAACATTTTGGTGTTTGAAACGATGGTCACTGGGTTCACGTCTCATTGGGGATTGCAAGTGCAACCAGCTGACGAAATGGGTATTCTATATTCTACTGTCAGTCAGCATTCAGCAAATTACATTAGCGATATATATTCTTCACTTTACTAAAAAATAATGTGAGGAGAACCAGCTCTAGCTGAGATACAGGAAGCTTTCACAGCTACCAAATTCTAATTGGGACAAACAACAAACAAATATTACACAGATCGATATTTCTTCAAACTTTACCTCAAAAAGCATAACACACATCTAATTAAATAAATCGCAAATTCTGCATTCAAAAAACTTCCGACTTACACACACAAATCAGCCTTATTGATTGTATGCGCTACTGGCCAAAACTTTTTAATTCCAGCGACATGTCCTATGCCGACAACAGCAACTACAACTCTTGGTATTACACTTGGCGGTGGCCAGTTAGAACAACAGCTTAACTTTGGAGGAGGGTTGTCGACGGTCACATGATTGGAACAGTGTTCACCTTCCTCTGTTTTTGTCTCTTCTTCTGTCGCTGCTTCTTCTTCTCCTTCATCTTTAGTAGGTTTTTCTGGTAAATTATCACCCAATTGGTTAAGATTCTCACGATGTCGAACAACAGATTCTTCACCATCAGCATGATATGATGGTCCATTAGGAGAGGCAGTAGTAGTATTAGTAGTAGTGGTAGCAGCTTTTGATGCCTTTAACTTTAAATATTCTTCCATCCCAGTAGCCTCCCAGATAGACCGAGCTAAATACTTATCTCTTTCATCTAATAGGATATGCGTTAATTCAGGATGATCTCCAGCCATTGTCACTAATAATTTTTCTAAGAAATCAGACTTTTTCATCTCTTCAATTTCTTCTTTCCTAATAATAAGGACAACAAAGAGAGACGATAACATATATCAAAATAAATCAATTAAAAATCAGTAAAAAAAAAGAGAAAAAAAGGAGAAAAACTAGATAAAACCACAATTGATTGAGAATATTAAGGTTAGGCATCTATCGAGTGCTAGGTAGGTGGGAGGGGAAATCAATCGACAAGGCTGTGAAGATACATCGACTGAGATGGTTAGGACATGCGTTATGTATGCCTAGCCATCGCCTTCCTCAACTGACGGGCAATGTTAGCCGACATAGGGTTAGGCTGGAAAAGAACTAGAGGCGGTCATAAGAAAACATGGCACTAGTTAATGAAATCCGCGACAGTTAATTTAAGCCACGTAGGAAGTTGTAGACTTTCTGGTGGGTGTTCTAGGGACGGTAAAAACCAATGGCTGGAAACAATCGGTGATATCGCTCAAAATCGTTCTTAATGGCTGGCGCAGATGCATCTACTCCTTGTGACTTACAGTATCCGATGAAACTATTTTGTTCTTCGATATTACTATTCCTTTTGTCTCATATCTCTGTTTACTGTTTCTATTTTGCATTTCTTCTACTTCTACTTCTCTTGCTTGTGTGCTACATGGTGGTAGTGTGGCGACTTGAACTGCTGCACATATATGCAAAGTTCTATGTTGAAAACAGACAACAGACAAAAAAGGGTGTTCAACCTTCAAATTGCACATTTTAAGGCTTAGAGTAGGGCATTATTGTTTCTAAACCAATTTACATGAACTGACCTAAGTAAATTGTTAGAATCATCAATCATAAGCAAGTCGACATTCACGCGAAACTTTTAAACGCTTTATTTACTATCACATCATGTTCATGTGAGTGTTGTAGTCGATCATGAGATGAATGCATACACGTTCGCATCATAGGTCTATAAACTCATTAATTAGGTCACAGTTAATATATATTCATATACATAAACATATTTGTACAACTTGTATAGTTTCTTTAAGAACTTAAATAAAATGACGTCATCGAGCTATAGAACTGACCTTCAAAGAATGCGTATAGGTAGTTAAATCATTCTATTTCATTACGAGTGTTTTTGTTTTTTAATAAGATTGATTAACCAAGGTAAAAAGGAAAACATTATTCGCAATTCACACCAGTAACGACGATGATTCACTAATTTCACTAATGAATACTATACAATCAATAGCTTGTTTGTGTGCCTTGGATAGACCATACAAGTGTTGGATCATAGAACCAGACATACGTTGTTGTATGATTCATCTTTCATCTGTACTCAAGTCTGTTCAATAGGATCTTTCTGTGGTGTCCGTTCCACGGATTTCTTATCACTGGATACAATGAATGTGAGTTGGTCAGAGCGTATTTTTACCATTTTATTCCTATGCGTTTTGAATGCGACATAGAGCTTAAAGCCTTGAGCTTTGAATTTTCAGCAGTAGTGGTGTTACTCCTTTTTCTACGGGCAAAGTTAAACTTTAAACACCACTAACTACCAATCAGCGAATAACATCGTTCGAACTCTAGACTAACTAATCCATATGAGATAAAAAATAAACTGAGTGACAGTTAACTAGAGAATGATGAAACAATGATTAGTTTTGATATAACTAGTCTTTATACTAATATACAGTCAATATGGTCTTAGAAGCAGTTGAAAAAGAACTAACTTCGGATTCTGAACTCAATCATAGGACAAAGCTGCTCATTGAAGAAATTGTTTTAGGGATTCAGTTATGCCTCACATCTACTATATTTAAATTTCAAGGCAAAATATATAGACAAACTGAAGGTGTAGCAATGGGATCACCAATATCCCCTATGGTAGCAGATATATTTATGGACAGTTTGGAAAATATGGCACTTAATACGTTTAATCCTACTCCGAAAATATTGTGGATATGTGGATGACAGTGTTAAAACAGAACATATCTCTAGCTTCTTGACACATATAAACTCACTAGTAGAGGGAATAAAATTCACATTTGAATCGGAAGATGAACAAGCACAATTAGCTATGTTAGATTGTAAAATAAAACGAATAGAGGAAAATAAACAACACACTAGCGTTTATAAAAAGCCAACGCAACCTAATCAATATTTAGATTTTAATTCGTCTCATCCGTTAACTGTTAAGGCAGGCTTAGTTAAGTGTCTAAGAAACCGAGTCATAGCACTAAGTAGCACAAAAAAGACCTAAATGACGAAATAAAGCAGGTAGAAGAAGCGTTGGTGTTGAATAACTATCCTCTAAAATTCATTAGGAAGATCACTAAAGGCCAAAAACAAAATAAAAATAATTGTGGAACTAGTAATGATAACATAAATAAGAGAGAACATAAGTCATCCACTGTAATACCATATAAGGAGGGGACATCTGAGACCCTACGTAGGATTCTTAATAAAGCAGGAATTAGGGTGGCATTCAAACCTACAAACTCACTCAGCGACAAGCTCTGTAGGTTAAAGGACCCTGTTGACCCAATTAGACAAAATAATATAACTTACAAAATACCCTGCAATGACTGCGAAGTCAATTACATACGTCAAACTAGTAGGTCGGGGGTAGTCAGATTATCAGAACATAAGAATTTAGCTAAGGGAAGCATGGTTGACCCTGAAAAGATAAGTAATTCAGAAAAAAGCTCAGCAATTGCAGTTCACGCATTAACAAACACAATAGGGTGGGATAGGGTTAAAATTCTAAAAAGTAATCTAGGAAGGTGGAGAGAGAGGTTGATTACGAAATCCTTGTTCATTAAATCTACACCCAACAGATGCAACAGAAATAACTCAATCAGCTAACGACTCCGAAAGCACCAATCACGTGAAGGAGGCACTTTTGTGTATAGAATACATATATTTATGAAATAAATGCACAAAAACTGTATAAAAGTGTTTCAGAGGATACCTTTCTCTCAAATTTGATAAAAATAGCTCTGTTTTAAGTTGGATTATCAACAGAGTATAATTCCATTGTGAGTAAAATTTATTTTTACAAAGCCTCATAGTATAATGCAGTAATATTTCCTGAGCCATAAATTGTACTCGGAACGTAATCAGTAAATATTCCTGTATAACACTGCGAGGTGTTATCAAAATAAATGTTACCCAGAGTGCACGAGTACTATTCTTACATCAACAGAGTAATTTAACCACATTCTATGCATTTAATTATTTAGGTCTTCTAACCCTAACAATAACCCTAATCTTCCCTGAACCTAACCCTAAAGTGAAAATATCCCTCAACTAACTTTAATATAACTCGAACCAAACCTACTGTCGCATTTATGAGGTTAACCTAACCCCAACTTGTCCTTGGTTCAAACCGTAGCTTAATCTTTCCCAAACCTAAGCTGAAACATGCCAGAAATCTCATTCAATAGCATAACACTTCGATTAGCATATTTTATTGATGATGACAATATTATTCGCCAGGTTTCACTAATTTGCTCATTGAGTGTTTTAAGGTCATTGGTGCGGTCGCACTCCATTGGTAGTCCGTTAGTGGTGCTTAAAGTTTAACTTGGTCTCTCTACGGAAATGGGGTCGTTAGTCTCATGCCTAAGCTCATGTCGATGCCGGATTTGCTACCGGCTTAGCAAGGTTTACGAGTGTATCGACCACTGAACCATCTACTCTCATTATAAGTGAATTTCCACTTTTCATAAACTCACAAACTGTTATTTTTGGTAATTGATGGTGTTCAGTATGTTCACTTTGTCCAACTTAGGGTTGGATGAATCCCCAATGACTGAGTGACGACGTTCCCAGTCACACTCAAACCATGCACTCATCGTTTCAAACGGAAAATGATTATCCATCAGATCACTAGACCCATCAGAGCCACCTCTTATGTGACGGGTATAAGTTATTATTTGTTGATTGATTATGCTCATCCGAAATTCTCGATCTCTGTCTACCGAAATAACATCATACTGACTGTTTGGTTTCAACAAAGAACTTTGCACAGATGTGTAGCAGTTAAAGTTTCCACTCTCTCTCTCTCTCTCTCTCCATGTAATACACGAATTGTGAGAAGACAGTAAAGATAAGTTTAAAGGAGAGATAATAAACACAATTATGAGGTAAAAAGAATAGTAATATGGAAGAGGAACAATAGCCTTTTATTGGATATGACAAATCACAAAGAGTGAATGCATCTGAGCCATCCACTGACAACGATTTTCAGCCATATTACCAATTGTATCCACCCTTCCCTGGTTTCTACCATCCTGAAGGCCCCAACGAGACTGGCAGTCGACACCTTCCAGTGTGGCTTTAACTACTATGTATTTCATTGATTGATAAAGTCATGTTTCGGCTTGACCACCACTAGCTAGCTCTTTTCCAACCTGATCAATGCTATGTCAGTTAACGTTGACCGTCGAGGAAGGCGATGGCTAAGCATGCGTAACACATGTCTTAACCATCTTAATCGATTCACCTTCCCACCCTCGTCGATTGCCTTTCCCCATATACCACGCACTTTACAGAAGCCTAACCTCAATATTATTCACCCTATTATGCCACTTAACACGGGAGACAGAACGCAGTCCCTTATAATCGAAGCAGCAGACATATCAAATAGAAGCCGAGTTTCCTAATTCATCATAGATAATCAAAGGGAAATGCATATTAATCTCTAAAAAAACAATAGCTGATTTCATTGTTCTTTTAATAACAAACTACGATAGTTGACTTCTTTAGGCATGTGATCAAGACAGTAAATTAAAGCAATTGACCTGATATGATCTCTATTATTACATGAGATATGAAATAGGTCACTCGTCCAGTTAATTAGATATACAAATAGGAGTTTTGTATTCAACTCATATTCATTAACAACTACTGAAACAATTACAATCTACAGGAATTCAATCCAAAGCGCTGAGATCTGGATCACAGCTGATGACAATAATACATTTAAATAATTAAACGCATATTTTTCTGAGCATAAGGGAAAGGCTGCTCTAATGGCTATGTGCTTTTGATTCTTATTTAGCCACCATAGTGATATCCCAAAAGGCTTTAAAGGGGATCTGCGACGAAGATTTCTAAAATAGTATTACTAAACAAATCAGGCTACGCTAATAAACTTCCACTAATTCCGTTCAAATGATAAGGAATCCATGAAATGAATGAATAAAGCTGCAGTTGACAAAGATATAAAAAAACGACAGATTTATCACGTGTCAGCATCGAGCTCTGTGAACAACTTTGTTGACCTTATCTGTGGCTTCTATGGTCTACCTTAGGCATTAGTCGATGTAGGCTCTATTACCCACAACACATTTTTAATGTACCCAGTTAGGGGAGACCCTTATCATGTGAGGGCTGACTATTCCACCCAGTTGCCCAAACTGAAAGGGTAGAGCACTGCTCGAACCCGTAGTCTTCCGGCTGGGTCACGGGTACACGCACAAGGCGTTCACTACAACTGCGTGGTTAGAGAGAAAGTGTTTTTTTCGTTTCAACTGTTTCTAAGGATTTAAATGAACTGTGGTCAAGATCTCACCGAATAGTTCCAAACAATAATTAGGCACCGAGTGGGAATTTATTTTAATTCTGAAGAAGTTCGGACTAGTCTGATGAATAAAATGTTGGGATTATTTATTCGAATTTCGCTGAGATTTCATAAATATAAATTCTCACATATATTTATAAGGATTCCTTGGATGTATACTGAACGTGTGACCATTAAGTACACTAATATATGTAATCAATATGCCTAAATGATACAATGTGGAAAGCTGATAAACGAGTACTTACGTAACAGGTTGGAAACTGAATAGTAGAGAAACAAAAAATTTCAATTTTGTCCACGGACCCAAAGCTTCTATAGCTCTATACAGCGTAATATTTATTGGACGATCTCCTAGTAAAATATGACAGTGAGGTTGTTTCATTGCCTGTAGAAGATTAAAAAAAATAAAATATACAAATTCATGTTTATTACACACAGAAATCAAAAATCAGTTTATTTAAATTCTAATTGCATGCCCAGACATCGTCGAAGCACCTGCACAAAAAGCTGACATGTTAACCTGAGACCGAGCACTTCGGTTCAATCAGTCGACGGGAGAATCTAAAATTCAATTAAAAAATCCCTGTATGCGTCAGACAGTGGGAAACGAGAAGACAGGGATATCCTGGACTGACGTGAAGAACCTAGAAGACCTGGATTTCGCGGATGATTTATGTTTGATGGCACACAAAATCGAAGACTTACAAGCGAAAACCGACAAACTCGTCGAAGAAGCAGCAAAGACAGGACTCCAGGTGAACATAGACAAGACGGAGGTTATGAAAATAACCAACCAGTAATAACAACAGCAGCAGCAACATCCAGCGCCAATCACCATCATCGGGAGGGATTTGAAAGAGGTTACTTCATTCACTTATCATCTAGGGAGCATTGTCTCAACCACAGGAGGAACGGACGAGGATGTCAAATCGAGAATCGGGAAGGTGAGAAACACATTCATCAACCTGAAACCAATCTGGAAATCTTCGTCACTCAACTCAGCATCAACAACAAAATTGGGATTTTCAATACAAGCGTCAAGTCAGTCAGTTGTTCTATACGGATCAGAAACTTGGCGGGTCACAAAGAATATTTCCAACAACCTGTTGCAGACCTTTATCAACAACAACTGTCTTCGTTCTATACTAAAGATCAGATGGCCGGAAAGAATCACCAACAAGAAACTATGGGAAGAAACAAAACAAGAACCAATCGCCCAACAAATATGTAGAAGAAAGTGGAGATGGATTAAGCACTCGCTGAGGAGGCCGCTGGGTGATATCGCGCGTCAGGCCAACGCTCGAGTGGAACTCGAAATGGAAGCGGCGAGTGGGACGTCCAAGGGTGACATGGAAGAGATCGTGTGAAGAGGAGTTGAAACAGTATGGATTAACATGGATGCATGTGAAAAGTACAGCAGAAGACAGAATCAAGGGGAGATGTGCAGTTGAAGCCCTATGTTCCACTAGGAACCCAAGGGAACAATAATAAATAATAATTATTTTTTGGTACAGATTCCGAGTAAATCATATCGATAAGTATTCAGGCCTAAAATATCCTCTAAGATGTTAAATGCCTAAACGTTACGAATGTAATGCATCAAGATGATAAATGACGTGCTTACATGCATTTAAACGTACACACATCTTACCTCTCTGGCTGCAGCTCGAAATTCTCCACCCGGTGCCATTCCAAGTATATCCACTAAGTAACCACTTAGTCGAAGCAAAAGGTAATGTAGAATGCCTGAGCTTAGACCTTGCTGAGTAAAGCAAAAATAAAATACTTTTTATTTGAGTATAAGATGATGAAATAAAAATTGAGCAAAAAAAATTGTCGGGATTACTGTCAATCAATAAAAATGTCAAATGAAAAGTGTTAGGTCACTTCAGACATTGTCAACCATTCATTCCAGTTACGGATTATCATTCTGATGGCGTACAAACTGAGCATGCTGCTGACAACTAAATTTAGGCATTATGCTCCACCCTTATATACGGCTGTGGGACATGTCTATAAAAAATGGAAGATACGACGACGCTATCATCGACCATGTGCTGTCGCAGTACCTTTTGGGGCTAGGTGTAGTATTATTTAAGAAGGAAGAGTCAACCTATGTGGTGAAACTACACCGATTGAAATGGCTAGAACATGCATGTAGCCATCTCCTTGTTAATTGAAACAGGGTTACAGATGGTCAAATGAAAATATGATACGAACTTATAAAGCCTTTGACTCTTGGATGGAGAGGTGTAAATAGTGTGGCTGGAGTCCTTTAGACGTTTAGAAACAATGGCTTGAAACTGTTGGTGACATGGCTCCAAAACCTTTCTCAATTGTGCAGATACAATCTCAGTATTATTCATGTAACCATTTCTCCTCGCATAAATTTCTGTTTAATATCGTTTCTCTGCATTGTCCCTCTACCGTTATGCTTTATAAAATCTAAAATCTTGAACTGTCGAAACTTCAGCAACCCGTGAGGTAAGTGCATATGAAGCCGCCATCAATTCGGCTGCCTGACAATTTACCCTTAAACTAAGATGAATTTGACAAGTATGCACATTGTTCAATTGGATTTCTCATTCCAATATTTCTAGTTGACACCCACTGATACAGTCTTTATTTAATAGTACGTCATTGTTTTGTAACTACCATCATATTTTCAATGGCTAAAATAAACTGAAAACCTAAAATGGAGGTAACTGACAAGCTCGCAACTTACTGCTATCTTTAGCATCTTAAAGTGAGTATAGTACCGAAATAGCGAATAAGGCACGCGAAATTTTTTAAAGCTCGACCAACTTTCGAAACGTGACTTCGGAAATCTAAACCTAAACATACAACTTGGTTGTTTCACTACTCACATAAAAACGTATTAAACATGTCCTCAATCGAGGCAACTATAAAGAGTAAATACCACGTTACGGTCTAGCAGCAACAACCAGTCACAGTGTTGACTTTCCAAAATGCATTAATATATGAAAAATGGCTTGGGCTGCCAATAACACCTATGAGGAACTGTGGCATATTTTCCAGCAGTGACATTAAGAGAATAAGTTGTTGCACAAAGTTTTATGACAAAACATTCTTCACTACGAGGATGAATTTAAACCTACACTCTTTATTACAGTTCGAAGGTTAATGTCCTTTAACTGTTGTTTAATCTTTTCTTCATCCATTGTCAAAGTTTGGCGACGGCTAGCACATAACTCTAGCACAACAATGTCTGGATATGTCTTCTCCATAACCTGTCGGAAGAAATCATACTACAAATGATGGATTACTGTTTTCACATCATTTATGCTTTCTTGACTGAAGTGTGCAGTCCCCACTAGATACACCTTACACTGATTCTCGCAATCAATGACACTAACAGTTTCGGGTAGCTCAAACTGCTCTTTTCGATGGTTTTTCACCCATTCCATATGATCCAAAATAAAAAGTCCCTCATCGAATTTCTCATTTTCTGATAAACTGGCTGTTTCACTTTCGTAATCAACATCGTCTAAAGTCTGGTCCTCTCCCATAAGCGTGGATGAAAGTAGCACAAACGTTAAAACTCCCGCAAGCCAAGTGTCCAATGAGTCAGCAGTGCAATTTGTTAAATAATAATTCTCTGTCATTGAGTTGCATCACATTAACTTATATGGCTTAAAACTGCGCAAAACTATTGTGCTCACTGTGTATGCTTACGTTATGGTTTGTTCTTGACCCTCTAACTTCACAGTCGTCTCCTGTGAGTTTTTGCAAAACGATGAAAGGGAGACGAGATGAAACAGGTTCCTAATCATTTCGCGGAATTTCTGACGTCATTTCATTTTTTCTTCGTGTCAAAGATATTGCTAAGCAAAGATACTCTGTCTTCTAATTTTTTTAACTACATAGTTGGTCAATCCCACCAAGAATTTTAGGTGAGACTGTTATCTCTTTCCAAATGTACCAGTTAAATTTAGAGCTCCGTCTGGTTCCCTGTGTAGAATTCTCTAAATAGCTCCTTACCGTAGACCATACAGAGTTGCAAGCGTTGCATTCGTTATCTTATATAATGATGATAACAATACACATGGAGGAAGGGAATTTATGTGAAGCAGTAATCTGCGGCCTGCTCGAACCACTAAGCTACCTAAACTTCCCTCTGAGACAATGCAGTTTTAGTTGTCTTTGTTCTAATCATTCACTTATGTCTCCGTGTTGCCAAATGTACTCATATACATTTTAATTGGTCTACAATTTACTGTTGTTCAATTATGAGGGGTCAAAGAAAAATACTATTAAGGATTATTTTATTCTTCAGTTCTAATATCAGTATGTCAGATGATGGAGATAAAATATTATGCAATAAACTGTGCTGAAAATTATGCATTTTCAGTAAACTTATTGTGTATGATAAAGCTGTTATTATTAAAAATTTGCAATGGAAATACTGAAAGCAGCAATATGTCGAATGTTAGACACACATGTGCTAGCTATCTTGGTGTAACTATCATATCTACGCTGATTGAAGTCGAAATGCAGTAGTACTCATATAAGATATTTGTAATTCTATACTATCTGGCTCGAGAGTAGCAGAAGATGCGAATTAGAAAAGTGAGCGGTAAATTGATGGAGACCTGCAATTAACAGGATTAACTGTAGAGCGCAGATATCCCTAAATAAAAAGTAACACGAAGTAAGTAAACGACGTTCTAGTCACACTTGATACTCAAAGATCTGTCAGAGAGTAACAGTCTGGGTCAGAATATTTCTCACGAGTCTGTGCTGGGCCTCTTGGGTTGCATCTAGGCAAGAAGCCGAGAAAGTGGTACTAGGCTGAGAAGATGAGGCATAAGCTACTACCTGCATTTAGACGATCATTTTGTTTGGAGAGAACATAGACCGACGCTTATATCATGAGCCGTCAAATTGCCTATCGCCATCCTACTGATAAGAGGGATTGACATTCATGGTTAATACCCAATCTTCTGTTCGAAATGTTACACGGCCTATTCAATTTTGGTGATCCCCCTTAAGAGCTTTATGACAACCACTGTAGTAATCCACTTCCTTTATCTTGCATCCAACACACCCATGCAACAGACAACATTCCCATACCGAATTCGCGATTTATACATTTATCACTAACTGATGTGAGTACTACCCAAATGTTCATATCATCTAGCTGGTGATATGCTAAGTCTTTCCCAACATTTTTCATGAAAAATGCCATCCCATTGGCCACCAAACGCACAGATACATAAGGAAGTCCTCAGCCCCACTGGGAAGTACCATTCGAATGTAGCTACCCAACTTAGCAAATTTCCCTCATGTACTATACTATGAGAATAAATTTATTTATTTATACCATAACAAACGTCCCATCTCCAATAAGAAAATCAAAGAACAGGAGATGTCTAAGCAACAGAAATCCTGTGTAGCATGTGCCCGATGACCTGTTAGTCACCATCAGTCAATTAAGGATAAGAAAGGAGATACCGAAGTAAATAAATTAATTTCCGAACACAGAGTACGAAAGCCCTTTGATATGATAGAGACGAAAGCACCCTTAATTCATCTTTCTAAACGAAAGTCAATTGTGATAGGCCAAGCTCCTAGAGGTAGGCCTAAGTGGTCTCAAGTGGGAAGCCAATTACATCCAACCACTAATTCTAGATAAACAAGACAGCGAGGTAGTCGGTATTATTCTGCTCACCCACTACGCAAACCCGTTGTTAGTCAGGCCCCTTTTTATGTCCTATCGACTGAATCCCATAATAAATCTCCCAAACATCTGCCGCAGGCTACATTCAGTAAGCCACATAAACCCATAGAAAATATTATCATTCGTCTTATGTATTAAGTGGAGAGCGTGTGCCTATGTATGCATAAAAACTGCTATGGTCTGATGACTACCCCATCCAGATACCAAGTCTTTTCTCCTATTCTGGTAACAAATTAACGAATACTTACATAGACTCTAAATTTCACAGCAACACTCCCCCTGCTAGCCGCTTCGGGCAGGATTTTCACCAGCGTCAGTTAACAGAAACACCTGACATCACGTGATATCGGATCAACTCTTTGTTGGCATGGCGAACAGTCTACAGCTAGGACAAGGCATATTTCCCAAGAGATGACTGATGCAGTGCCTACACAAAACCTCAGGTACTAATATTTTTAATTGTAACACATATTTCTCCCACTGCATACCCTGCACAAACGACGAACCACTCCTGACTACCACCTCACAAACATGCCTAAAGTCTTCCTGTGATCCAAAGATGGTGGTTAGTGGGTCTAAAGACGTGTATGCAGAGGATGCTCATGGAATATTTTATCAAGATGTTGTCCACTCACTGAAACCACGTAACCAGTGTTTATCTGCTATCCTCGAAAATACTAGATCAGTTCTTAGTACTTAGTACTAAGTATATTAGCTTCCTCATGCAGACCGTCAATGATTATGATCACTGAAGCCTGCTGCTCAGGTGAGATCTCTAATGATAGCTTAAGAATGGATGAATGCAACCATTTTTTTGAGGGGACAGATAGACAGGTCGTGGGGGTTAAACACTAATTTGTTGTGAGCAATCCGTGTGTACAACCAACTTAGGCAACCCAATTCTGTCACAGCGTAGTGACTCTATCCGGGTCGAAATAAAAGTTGCCAGATAACAATAATAGTATATTCTCATTTTTTACATGAGGGACGCCAGTTTACAGGCATCATCAATATGATAAATTACATATACGATTAGTAAGCATATTTAATAAAAGTAATTTAATAAAATACATTTTTTCCTACCTGTGTAGGACACACCAATTGTACAGGCATGGATAAGTATTATTTAAATTACATAAATTTGGTTCATGGTAAAATTATAAGGTTGCATTCATTTGTCTATGGGAACAATATGATAACTAGTCATTCAATGGAGCACATCAAGATGCAAACATATGCGAACTGTTTAGCAAGCACTCTGCCAGACTAAACACTACACACACACCCTGGAGAACGATCAGGTCGTGGATTTCCCACGTAAAACAGACGGATGTCTGAGTGGCATCACAAAAGAGAATAATGAAGCTATCGCAAATCTTAAGCTCAGGGACACTATTGGTCCAGACGCATATCTTACACTCTGCTGAGAAGCGGTGGTAATGACATGAATTTACTCCCAGCCAAGTTATACTGGATTTCACTAAGCTGTGGGACATACCTTACCCGCTGGAAAAGTCTTTTATTGTACCCATCCATGAATACGAGCATACAGCTGATGTCAACAACTACAGTCTCATCAACATCACGTCTGTAGGATCACGTGTAGTGGAAAAAATAGTAAAGACTCAAATAATAATAATATATTCTCATTTTTGTACACGAGGGACGCCAATTTACAGATATCATCAATATAATATATAACATATACGATTGGTAACCATATTCAATAACAATAATTTAATAAAATACATATTTATTCCTGACAGTGTAGGACACATCAAATGTACGGGCAATATTATAACTATAATTATTGTTTCCTTTAATTCCTAGAGGAACATAGGACTTTAGCCGTACGTCTCCATTGCGTTCGGTTCTCTGCTAGAGTCTTCACCTGGCTCCATGTCTGCCCACACGTTTTCATCTCCTCTTCACATGACCTCCTCCAAGTCACCCTTGGACGATCAACTCACCGCTTCCCTTTTGGGGTTCCACTCGAGCAATAGCTTGTCTAGTGATGTCACTTGATGGTTTCCTCAGAGTATGGCCAATCCATCTCCATTTCTTCCTGCCTGTTTGTTTCACAATCGGTTCCTGCTGGGTTGGTTCGCTCCCAAAGATCTCTGTTGATGATCTTTTCTGGCCAGCCGTCTGATCTTGAGTATTGAACGAAGACAACTGTTGATGAAGGTCTGTAGTTTGTTTGGGATGCTCTTGATGACGCGCAGTGCAAGTCTCTGATCCCTGTAGTAGCACTGACTTCACATTGGAGTTGGAAATCCGGATCTCATTTTTGATGCTGAGTGCTGTTGACCTCCACACAGACTTGAGAGTAATGAAAGCTTGTCATGCTTTCCCGATTCTTGCTTTGATATCCTCGTCAGTTCCTCCTGTAGTTGAGACGACGCTTCCTAGGTAGGTAAACGAGGTTGTTTCTTTCAGATTCATCCCATTTGTGCTGATCGTTGTCTGATATTGTTGTTCTTGTCCAGGAATATTCATTACCTCTCTTTTTTCTATGTTCAGCTGAAGTCCTATCTTCTCTGGATGCTTCTTCTGCCAACTTGTTGCTTTTCGCTTGCATATCTTCCGCCTTTTGAGAAATCAGACATATATCATCGCCGAAGTCTAGATCCTCCGGGCTTTTTGTGTGAGTCCATTTTATGCCTGTTTCCTCTTTGCCCACTGTTTGTCGCATTATCCAATCTACTGCAATCAGGAAAATCATTGGCGATAGTAGGCAACCCTGTCTTACTCCTGTCTTCACTTCGAAGGATTCCGTGAGCTTCCCGTTGTGGATTACTTGGCATGCAGCGTTGTCATACAACTGTTGGATGAGATGTATAATTGTCGGCGGCACCCAGTAGTAGCGAAGTAGTTTTCAAATCACCTCTCGATCGACGCCGTCGAAGGCCTTTTCAAATTCGA